GTATTAGTTTTATGTCATGATAATGCGAGAATGAATTGCAATATATATTAAAGTTGTTAAATTTCGCATGTGTTTAAACCATTAATATTTATTCATGTTATTGTATGAAGTATGTTCAAACGTTCATATCAACTTTATGTTTAGATCTTTTGTATAGTTATATTTAGTGTGAAATTATTATAACAAACCATGATTCATTTTATATTTAAATAACCCATAGTTTATTTTATATTTAAGTTAAATTATTGTACAAGCTATGTAATTTTTAATATTTAGTTTATAATGATAACATGTGTAGCTATTATGTAAATATATTAATTTTAGTTAGTAGAATTTTCGTTTAATGTTAGTGACGTAAAAAAATCGAATAAAAATGAAACAAAAGAAAAATACAATAATAGTAATAAGAAGAAGAAAAAGGGAAAGGTTAAAAAAAATATAAACAGTGAAAAAGAGTATACTAAAAAAGAGGGGAAAAGAGAAAAAAAATAATAGAAAAGAAGTATAAAAATAATATAAAAATAATAATCAATTGAAGAGGAAAGATTTTTTTAATTTTTTTTTGAATGTTTCTTTGGCCAAAAAAAAATTAAGTTGAAATAAAAAATAAATAAAACCTTGAAAATATAAAAAATAATAATAATAATAGCAAAAGATAAGAAGGTAAAAAGAGAAAAATATATAAAAAATAGAATAAAAAATAAAAATAATAATAATAACAAAAGAAAAAGTAAAAATAAAGAATATCGTATTTTATTCTGCTTTGCGTGATTTAATTTATATGTGTATATATATATTTTTAATTAAAGGGCGTAGATTAATAAAATAAGGTAGTTTTAATATATTTAAATAAATTAAAGAACGAGAGGTAAATACAGTTGTCTTAATAATATAATATTCAAAAATTAGTTTGAGTCATAGAAGTCCATAAAGCGACCGTGCTAGAACCACGGGACTCGAGGGATGCCTAATATCTTCCCCTTGGTCAATAGAATTCCTTACCCGAACTCGTTCGCGACTCTGAAAAAATCAAAATAATCCCTTAATTAATAACGTGACTTAAATTGGAAAAATTCATACGCCGCCGCGCGAAAAAGGGGTGTGACAGCGAGCGAGAATGGAGAGTGGCGAGCGAGATTTCTGGGAGAGAGACGCTGGCAAATTTTAGATAACGTTTGCTATGGAGCACAATTAAATCAAACCTTAGCTATTCCATTTATTTTAGGTGATTAGTTTGCTATTATATACAATTTTCCCTATTAAAATTTATAATTAAGAAAGTCCAAACTCAAAATTTATTTAAAATTTAATTCCCTAAAATATTTAGGGAATACCGTAGTTTGTTTATTCACCATCAGCAGTCGTCTTCTCTAGTTCTCTTACTAGTTTGTTTTTTAAGGAATCACTATTCAAGCTTATTCTCTGGTAAAAACAAGTTACTTTTCCCTCTTTATTTTAGAATTCTTTACTTTTGTTCTAATTTAAATTTTTTGTTTTGTATTCGATGTTCATTCTATGTGCTCGACCCACCCTAAACACATAAGCAAATTAAAAATATAACATTATAAGTTCTTACAATAATCTAAGTTAATATTGCAATAGCAATTGCATATATAGTCAAACTTAACGTAAAAATTATTTGAAATATATAGACTAGATCTATCACTATCTAAAAATGATGTGAACTATTTTTTTTTGAATTTTATTTTATTATATCTTGTGTTTCTTTGAAGAACTATCTGTCACACTTTACATGTCAACATACTGTTAATTTATTATATTACTTGTTTTCAGTATCACTGTATGGCTCTAAATACAACAAATTCCTCTCCTTTGTTCTTTAATTCCTATTGTCATACATTAAAATAATCATTATTTTTTATCTTAGTTAAATAGGTTAATCTAAAACGGAATTATAAATAGATACCTATCGGCTACCTGAATGCATACACATGCTATATTATAAAATGTAAAACTTGGTCATCTACTCATCTATAAATATACTACCATTCAGTTGATCTAATTTTTGAGTTAAGAGTTTTGAAAAATTGTTAAGATAAAAATAGAACATGTAATTTAGTTGTTCATTTGGCTAATATTTTTTATTATCTTTTTATTTTATGTTATCACAGAAAAATAGAAAAATTAATGGATGACACAAATATTATACGTGAAGATACCATGGAGGAAACTGAGCCAGTACAAGGAGAACCAAAGCAAAAAAAAAAAACAACATCAGATGTGTGGGAAAATTTCATAAACATTGGCAAAGGGGAAGATGGAATGGAAAGAGCAAAATGTATTGACTGTAAAATTTTAATTTTTAAAGTTGGTACAACTCTCAAAGGTACAAATTATGGGACATCACATTTACGTCGTCACAAGGGGGTATGCCCAATGCTTAAATTTCATGATCTGGGTCATATGTTCATCAATCAATAAGGCAAATTACAGTCTAGAAAAGTTGATCAACAAATACAGCATGAAATGCTTTCAGAAGCTATTATTAAGCATAATTTGTCGTATTCTTTTGTTGAATATGATGAAATTAGGAATTGGATAAATTATATAAGTCCAGATGTTGTGATGTCTTGTGGAAATACAGAAGTTGCAGATATAAGAAAAATGTATGTTAGAGAGAAGGACAAATTGAAACAAGAATTGGCTAAAATTTCTAACAGAGTATGTTTGACTTCTGATTGTTGGACATCATCTACTTCTGAGGGATACATTTGTTTGACGGATCAATTTGTTGATGAAAATTGGAAGTTGAATTGTAAAATTCTAAACTTTTGTCGTATGTATCCTCCTCACACTGAAGTTGAAATGGCTGCTGTTATATACGACTGCTTGAAAGAATGGAATATAGATAAGAAGGTATTTTCTATTACTTTGGATAATGCCACTGCCAATGATAGTCTGCAAACTATTTTAAAAGGGCATCTAAATTTGCAAATAGTTTGGTATGTGATGGTGAGTTCTTTCACGTGCGTTGTTCTACTCATATTTGAATTTGATTGTTCAAGAAGATTTAAAAGCAGCTACTGATTCCTTGATTGCAATTAGGGGAAGTGTTAAAGCATGTTAGAGGATCAGATGGGAGAATGCAAAAGTTTGAACAATGTGTTAAGCAAGTTGGAATTGAAACTAATCTTGATTTACATTTAGATGGAACTCGACATATTTGATGCTTGAAAGTGCTCTCCCATATGAAAAGGTTTTTTCTAGTCTACATTTACATGATAGAAATTATACTCACTGTCCTACATTTGATCAATGGAGAAGGGCTGAAAAAATATTTGAAGTCTTGGAGCCATTTCATGAGATAACAAATTTGATTTCTGCTTCAAGTTATCCAACCTCTAACTTGTATTTTACGCAAATTTGGAGAATTGAATGCATGCTCAAAGAGAAATTGAATAATGAAGATAAAGTTATTGAGGATATGGCTTCAAAGATGCATGTGAAGTTTGAAAAATACTGGAAGCAATATAGTGTAGTACTTGCATTTGGAGCAGTTCTTGACCCCCGCATGAAATTACAGTTTAGATGGAACTCGACATATTTGATGCTTGAAAGTGCTCTCCCATATGAAAAGGTTTTTTCTAGTCTACATTTACATGATAGCAATTATACTCACTGTCCTACATTTGATCAATGGAGAAGGGCTGAAAAAATATTTGAAGTCTTGGAGCCATTTCATAAGATAACAAATTTGATTTCTGCTTCAAGTTATCCAACCTCTAACTTGTATTTTACGCAAATTTGGAAAATTGAATGCATGCTCAAAGAGAAGTTGAATAATGAAGATAAAGTTATTGAGGATATGGCTTCAATGATGCATGTGAAGTTTGAAAAATACTGGAAGCAATATAGTGTAGTACTTGCATTTGGAGCAGTTCTTGACCCCCGCATGAAATTACAGTTTTAAAGTTTTTGTTATTCTAAGTTGGATTCTATTTCCGCACAAAAAAAGATCTCTCTACAGAAAAGCAAAATGTTGTTAGAGCTTCTACAACTATTAGGACTACACCAAGTGTTGCTAGGAGGAAATCCAAAGTATTTAATGTAAGTAATTTCCATCTTGTTAAAAATTGAATATATTTCTATTCATATCAAATATTTTTTCTTTGTATATTACTGTCTTTACTAGTCTTGCATGTATTCACTATTGTCATATTTTAAACTTCATAGGAATTTAAAGCATTTGAGAATGAAACTGTTTCTAGCGATGGAAAGTCAGAATTAGATCTTTACTTAGAAGAACCAAAGCTTGAGTATGAAAAGTTTCAAGATATGGATGTTTTCATGTATTGGAAGGATTGCTCTAACAGATATCAGAACATTCAGTAATGGCCCGTGATATACTCAGTATTCCTATTACCACTGTATCATCAGAATCGTCATTCAATATTGGTGGACGTATTCTCACTAAATATAGAAGTTGCATCCTTTATGAAAATGTCCAAACACTTGTTGCTACTTGAAATTGGTTACATGATTTTTCTCAAACTAGTAGTATATTTTGGACACATTTAAATATTACAATTGTCAATTTAGTTATTCTTTAATATTTAACTAATTAAACCGCATATAAATTGCAAATGAAAATGAAGATGTTAAGACAACCTTCCCACAAGTTGATTCAGATATGCTTGATGAAGATGATCATGAAGTGTTAGATACGCCATAAGTTTCATGATTTTATTAACGAGTATTTTTATTTTTTTATGGTTGGAATATTGATATATTCTTCATGTTTTATTGTGATCATTGCAAAATAATTAGTTTAATATTTCTATTTAGATATTTATATTTTACTAGAAAAAAATAATAAGTATTATAAAGATAATTTTATTTGTGGATTTGATTTAACAAGTAGTAAAATCAACCTCGTGTAATAGTGTTTTGTCGATATTTATGATAATATTTATAAATTATAATTTATAATTTAATTTAAGAATTTTAAAAAATATAATTTCTAAAAAAGTGAGTTGGCCCGACAAGCCTGTAACCTACGTACTTGTGGGTTGGGTCAGCCATTTTTTGGCTCACACCAAAAATGGGTTAACTCGGCCTGACCCGTAAAATGTCAAAGCCTGTATGGATTAGCCCGAATGGGATGGACCAACCCATATTGACGGCTCTACCAACTATCACTATTTTCCTCCAAATATACTTGACACTTTAAAATCATCACTCTCTCCTAGTTGGCATAACATGTCATTAAAGTTTTTTTTTAAATAATAGACTAATTTAATTCATTGAACCTATTTCACTAAAATAATGATCATATTATTTTTAATTTATTTTCAATCTATAAAGAATAAATTTTCATTCTTAAAATCTTTTATCATAATTAATTTTTTCTTATGTTATGAAGAATACATTTTTAAAATGTACTATAATTTTATCAATTTTGAATACATATAAACACATACATTCAAAAAAATATTGATATACAAATCATTCATTAATGCTAATTTACAACAATTAATCATAAGTTGTATAATAAATCAATAATATTAAAGGTCAATTAACCATTACAATAATATTAATTGTATATTTTGCAATTCATGGATATTATTTTTTTTAAAAAAAAGAAAGTGAATAATATTATATTTTTTATCCAATTAGAAATACTAAATACCTCAAAAGTCTCCTTAAATTCTAGTTGATACACCATGTCATTAAACGATCATTTTATAAAAATACTAGACCTATTTAATTCATCAAATTTATGTCTCTAAATAAATATATAAATTAATGAGAATTTATGAAGATTATAAAAAAAGTAATTTAAAATGTCTAGTAACTTTATATGTTGTGACCAAACAGAAAAAATCTCTGTATGCACTTATTACCTGATAATTTTAAAATTTCCAACTAAATTATTTGAAAATTTTAAACAATTTTTTAAATAAAAGTATTTAGATAAATTTGTAAGGTTGACAAAAAAAATTGTTAGAAAGAGAAAATTATTATTTAACTTTTTTTTTATTCTTTTATTCTATATTATATTATATTATGACTTTTCATACAGTGAAACATCAATAAATAAACTAATAACTAATTGAGTTTACTTATTTAATTCAATAGTAAACATATTATAAGAGATTATTATACTGATAAATAAAAATAAAAATTTTATTTTCTATAAATATTATTCACTTACTATTTTGTCACGACCCAAATTTGCAAGTCGTGATGGCACCTATGTTCCCAACCAATAGGTAAGTCAACCCAACATATTAACTCAACTAAATCAACAAATGAGTAAAAAGACTAATACTTAGCAAGAATCTCCAACATTGGGTTCCTTATAAGTACGAAATGCGGAAGATAAAATATATCACCCCAAGAATTGGTGTCTTAAGTACAAGAGCTTCTAAAATTCGAAGCAAGTCTGAAACTAAATAACAAATCTAACATAAGGGATATCCTGTTTGAATACTAATAACAGAATAAATAAAAGATAGAGGGAGGTGTGGGCCACGGAACAGCCAAGCAGCTCACCACAACTCCAAGAACTTCAAGCCGGACTCAATTTTCTCCACGAGATGTGCTTCTAC